TTCATATCTTTGTTGATTGTGGAGTAACAGGTGAAAAACTTCAGGGGTTTGTTTCTCACTTTTTAAAAAATGGCGCTTGCAGCCTTGTACTGTAATTCTAAGGCCCTCATATAGCTTCTTCTCTTGTTCCTTTTCCCTTTATAAATCCATTTTGCTCTTAGATAACTCACTTTCTATTCTAAGCTTTATTCTACTGAAAATTATGTTTAATAAAACTTTGCAGGCAAGACTTACTAAGTTTATTGTTCTAAACTTGGTGCACTGTATGGCTCCTGGATTTTTAGGTAATAATACAAATACTGAATACAGGTACTCCCCGACTTACGACCGACTCGTCTTACGTCCACCCGCACTTACGACCGCCTCAGTAATACCAAAATGTGGTCAAATTATGTATTTTTGAGTCCCAAAGTCAGTACACAGACCAAATTTTCATCTGTAATTCACTTTAAAATGGCTGGCAAGCTTAAAAGTGAGTGTTTTGTGGTGCGGAGAAGAAAAAGAGACCCAAATTTTCTATTTTCTCTGAGTTGCTTAAGCATTTCCGACTTAGACCATTTCGACTTATGACCTGGATGTTGGTCCCTAACGCCGTCGTAAGTCAGGGAGTACCTGTAGATTTTTTTTAAACCACTGGGAAGATTTCCATTGAAGAATATAGAATTACATATTTTAGACAACCTTTTATTCCATTTTTGCTCATTTCTTTTATAAATTGTGCTGCAAGCTGATCAACCCCACAAGATTTTATTATTCTGCTCACAGCTGCCTCAACTTCTCTTTCTTGAATTGACATTTCAATCTTTATTTTATTTGTATTTCCTACCTATACTCTATCCTTATCATTGTATAGTTCTTCTATGTACTCTGCCCATCTCTCCTTTACTTCTGCCTCAAACAGGATCTTATTGTCTTTGCTTTTAATAAATCCAACCCCATTTATTTCCTTTTATCTGGTTCATTTGTATAATATTTCTGTGCATTCCCTATAATTAAGCCTTCTGTCATCATCTTCAATCTCCTTGCATTTCCTTTTTAGATCATCTTTCTTGGCCTGTCTGCATTACCCTTGAATTTCTGTTAATTTGTATGTAAGCCTCACTTTGGTTTCTCTTATTCGTCTATCTAATTTCCCTATACGTACAGTAATTTCATTTGTCATCCACTTACTTTTAGCCTCATTCCTCTTATATCCTATAAGTTTTTCCCCAGCTTTCCTCCAGCTTTACCATGCTACCCCCCCCATCTTATCTCCTTCAGGTGCTGAGTTTAATTTTGGGCTAATGGTGGAGAAGCTAGCTAGCACCAAAAGGAGTTTATAGAATTGCACCAAATTTTTAGATGTGTTATTTGCTTCATACTAAAAAAAACAAATGGAAATGACACTGCATAGAACCTAACAGAACCTAGCCTAACCAACCTAACCTTCTAACCGAGGGTTGCCTTATTAAGCAAAAACTGTATATATACCCCAGTAGTTACAGATACTTTTTTTTTTATGGAAAATAGCTCACCTGGGCACAAGTCATCGACCCACAACGAGGCCTGGGGGGCAAAAAAATTAATGGTAAAAAGAAATTAAAAATAGAAGAGAAAAAGATTATATTAATCTACACCACGAAGATGCCGGAAAACCAGCTTTTTGAAGTGAGACAGATTGTAAGAATATGGAAACACAGAAGAAGGCAGAGCATTCCACAGTTTGGCTGTGTGAGGAAAGAAGGTTGTGCTATAACGGGTTATTCTAGTGTGACCAACATCCACACAGAAATGGCGGGCGCTGCGGGCAAGACGAGTGTTACGGCCTTGCCGATGGTACACAGGATGCCAAATCCACCGGACATTGCCCGTTAAAGTACCTGTATAAGAGAGAGAGTGAAGCAACATTGCAGCAAAGAGAAAGGGAAGAAAGATTATCAACCCTATCTAACAGTTGGACAGACGAAGAGCCAACCCAGATATGAGAGCAGTACTCCAAGTTAGGACGAATGAATCCCTTATAAACTTGAAGCAATTGCTCAGGAGTGACGTAGCTATGGCATCTGTACAGTATTCCCAGCTTTCGTGTGGCAGCTTTAGCAATGTTATGGATGTGTGGCTTCCATGACATCTTAGAGGAAATGGTGAGGCTTTGCATATCTATTTTAGAATTTGGCAGAATGATTTATGAGTTCACAGCTGAATAGCCTGGCTGTCTATGTAGCCATCCTGGCTGCATACACTATCAGGCTATTCAACCATTGATGGCATAATAGCCACAGTGTTACATATACAGGTATCCCTCGTTTCTAAACTGATCATTAAACGAGGGATAACGAGAAATAAAATCCATGGAGATGGCATGTAATTGCGTAGCCGAGTCGCCAACTTGCCACCCAGTAGCACTCAGAGCAGGTGAGGCTGAGCTGTGAGATAAGTTATTGTTCAACTCATAATTTCAGGTAGATATACGTAATTTTCTTCATTTTCTTTTACTGTACTTTGTTACATGCACACACATTCGTTCATAATGAATGTTTAAAACAATATCTTAAGGTCAAAAACATAAAGGTAATAAACATTCTTTACATGCTCGGCAGTTAGCCCACAGAGCGGGCTGATTCAAGAGACATGTGGTTGCTGCCTGTATGCCATGACATCACAAAGAGGGGACGGAGAGTGCAGCTGGCCACAGTTACAGCTCACTGCCTCAAAACTTACGTTCACTTCACACATATCATAAAGAATGGTTGCCCCTCGTGTAACAAGGATGACCAGCCCAAGGCCACCTAGGTGTGAATTTGTTTTAAGGTATAGAGGTTGTCACCATCACAACAACCACACCCTAAGTTGACAAGTTGCATGACCCAGTGTCAAGGAATAGTCCGAGAAGACCAGACAATTCGCCGACTGCACTGGCTAACCATTACCCCGGAATTCGATCCGCAAATCGATTAACATCCAGGTCCCCAATTACTGCTGGGTACACAGGCAAATGGCGTAAAGAACCTTGCCCATAATTTCACCCTGCCGGGGATCGAACCCGGGTCCGCTCACTTGCGAGGCGAGCATGCTGACCATTACATCACAGGTCGCCACATTTCCCACACGTACACACCCATGCTCTTCATTTTCTAATTTTATAGTTTTATAATACACTGTATAATATACTGTACAGTACTATAAAACTATAAAATATTGTACTGTACTGTATACAGTACAATATTTTCTTTATTTCTAAGCCATATTACAGTACCATATTGTAATGATGTAAACTTGGAGCACACGATCCCCAGTTTTTCCAACTTTCCTCTCGAATTTTTCCCAGGGAGTCGAAGATCGCTAAACCAAAAATTGGCAATTGTTAAATAAGAAAGGGTGTTATAAATTTAAAATCACAAAGTGAACGATCGTTAAATGAGGGATGCTTATATATGAGTTACTGTACTTCTTATGCAAATTTATTTCTCTGAACACTTACAGGTCAAGGAAGAAATGCTTCCTGGATCCAAACATGAAGACTCAAGTAAACTATTGTAACATCATAAAAATCCATTTGCACAAGAAATGACTTTTATCATGGGAATTGGCACAAAATTCTGCTACAGGGTACATTAAGAGGAAACATGTCCCAGAATGAGTGTTACTATAATATCTTAGTACATTTGGAATAGTATAGTACTGTACAGTATAAAAATGTAGTAAAAATAGTTCATTTTTAAACCAAAACTCAGTTAGGCAAGCAATACAATAATCATACCATACCCCCCTACAAGTGGCAGGAATTGAAAGCTAACCCCATTAAAAAAAAAAACTTTTTTTTTATGTTTGAGCTAACTGTGTGTTCAACTTTGAACTGAGCAACCAGTAAAAAACTGCAAACTTCAAGTCTGTGGGATACAGGAGGCTGGGATGAGAAGGAAGAGTTTTCTTGTCCTAGAGTGTACAGTACTGTATAGTCATTTGCATCCCATTTAATGTAACCTATTTAACAACAAATTGCTTTACTTACTTTATTCTAAGATGTTCTCAGAACTTCCACATTTGTAGTTCAGATTGCTGAGGTTCATATCCCTCAGCCTTAAACTTTCACATCCAAGCTTCCTACCTTAGTGACACTACCTTACCACATGTGTTCTTATTTTGTAAAATTTTTTCACAGCAATTAACTGTATTAAAAATTCCCATTCTCTGGGTTTGTCCTCACTGGTTGTGAGGAGTAGGTGTAGTTTCTGTTGATGGTCGTCCATGTACAGTCTTCAATCTGGCACCATCATTTGTAAACAAACTCACCTCCAGCATAACAACCACACAAGTAAGACTACTCATAATACATCAGCAAAGAAGACAGGCTTACAACAAACCCTACCCTCGATGGTCCCACACAGAGGGCAAGAGTTTCGAGTAATTAACAGTACCACTTGAAGGAATGACTCCTACCTGTGGGTTCTTCGTGGAAGAGAAAAGGAGGGTGATTAAAACTCTTGAGTGTAAGTACTATTTTGTGACTTTTTTATGGGATTTATTTCTGAATGTACTAAGGTAGTTAAGCACATTCATTTTTAATTATGAGAGAAAAGGTGTTTTTCAATCAAAAGATCACCAGTCTCAGCTGTGGATTTTGGAAAGTATTATTATTTTATTTTTATTTTATTTTTTCCTTCAAAATTTCACTACAGTATAAATACTACTCAACATGCTGATTAAGGATCTTGGGTCAAAAAGTTGTAATTTTGGTAATTAGCTACTTGCTCTAGTGACACTTGAAATATTTAAATTAGTTTTGCAATACTATATTAATTGCAGGTACTACTCCTTACATTTAACTTTTTTGTTATTGTGGATGTACTGTACTAAAGTAATTTAATACTAAGATTTATAATTCTGACAGAAAACGTGCTTGGGGAGAGGAGGAGGGGGGCAATTCAAAGTTGATATTTATGTTACTGTACTGTGATTCTTGTTTATTATTTCAAAATTAGAATGCAATAGTAATAGGTTATGTCATGGTAAAAACTTCCTTTTACTCAAAAGTTGTTTATTACATCAATATTTTCCTTACACTGGTACAAAAGGTAATGCTTCAGGTAAGAATTGCCAAAGTCTTCGGGAGAAAAAGAACCTCAGGTATTGTCAGACTACATCGTCTTCCAGCTACCTTGTTCATTTTACTAACGTTACTTGGTCCTTTCTATTTGGTTAATACAATCACTTCCATTATGTACAAATTATGTAAATCAAGATTTGCACAAATATGTACAATGAATGAATGCTATTGAGGAAATCTTTGGTCAATCAAGAGATACAGTATAACACTTATGGAAGGACCATTCTTTATTCAACATACACGTATCTACAAGTTAAAAGTACTTAAAAGATTCTCATGGAGAAACAAATTACACACTACTTGAGGTAAATTACTGAAAACAGAACGATGAACACATAATGATCAAAAATGATCTAAAAAGTTTATCCAGAGGTGTTTCATGGACAGACACGTACCTATCTTGACACGTTTCGGTGACATTCGTCTGTTTTCCTTCCCTGTACTGTATATCTGTGTGTGTAAGTTCATATGACTGGATATACCATTCATGGCCACTGTCCCTGTATATCTGTGTGTAAGTTCATATGACTGGATATACCATTCATGATCACTGTATCTTCCTCTGTTCCATCGTCAATCATTTCACCTCGTGAGTGAGTGAGTTTTTGAATGTACATCTTGACACTGGAGGTAGTCGCAATCGAACTCGTAACTCGATCCAGGAACTGACGCTTCAATAGCCAGCTCCCTATTTTTTTTCATGAACCACAGCTAAGCAATTGTCTTTCTGGCTATGACTACGAAACTTTTACAAAAAGATTAGCTAACCTATTATCATAAAAAATTAAAAAAGAATGAAGAAATCAATCACTGTACTTATTTACATCACACAAATGCTTCCCTGTTATAATTTGAAAAAGGAAGAAAAACCAAAACTAGGCACTTACTGAACCCAAGAAAATCTTATTCTAAACCAGGTACCAAAAGAGCCCCTTCTCCCATGGCATATATAAACTTCCCATTTTAAGAAATTTATTTTTTATGTTATCCCATTGCTACTTTTTAAATATGTTTTTTATCAAAATTGGGAATAGAAAATGTTAATTATATATGTTTGAATATATTTGAGCTGCTGGCAATGAACACTTCATAATAAACAGCATAACTTTGTAGGAGACATTTACAATTTAGACACAATTTGGATGAACCTCCATCTAAAAATCTTGACAAATACAAAATATTGTACGTACTGTACTAATTGTTTATTGTGAATACATTCACATTACCTCAATAATTTACTTTTCCAATTTTTTTATAAGAAAGCATCTCAGACAAAATGGCTACCAACCAATTCCACTTTCTTTAGAATTCTGTATTTTGGCTCGGCTAATAAATGATAAGGTAGTTGCCACTTTCTCACACTAAAGTATTCATATGCTAGAGATACAGTACAGAGATTGGTTTATTATCACAAAGATTTAAATTTTAAGTAGAGCAACAGAATGCCATGAAAAATTGGTTTCTTAAATATCCCCAGATATGCACAAGCAAATCCGGTACACTTATTCAGGGGGTGACACAATCAGTGGGAATCATGGGGCTGTGGTAGTGGTGGTGATGTGGTGAGCAATGGTATGATGACTTGAGATATGAACATGGTAAAAATACAAGAACATGTGGGTACTGAAGATAGAAGAAAGACTATTTATAAATCTGAAGTGATGTTGGAAGTAAAATGGAGAAAGTAAAGATAAATATAGATATTATAAACAGAAATCTTTATGAAATATGAAAAAAAAGGAGGTAAACAAGATAATGTACATATAGAAAATGAAAAAAAGTTAACAGCTTGCATGGAATTAACATTGTAAGAGAAGAAGAATAAATATGTAATAAAGCAAAGGTATTTATGTGAATGTTACAGGAGAAAATGATGTGAGGTGATTAATTTGGCCATATTGATAATGTTACTTACTCGTGGGCGGGTTGTGATTGTGTGGTGACATGAGACCCGAGAGGAAGTGTGGGGCGGGAAGGTTGCCTTGGGGAAGGAAATTCTTGTACATGCCCAGACTTGCTAAAGCCTCAGGTGACAGACCTGACAAACCTGAAAGTCCTAATGAACCTAGTTGTAGCTGGGCTGCTGCCATGTGTTGAGCTGCGGATGACCCACTATTGCTGCCACCACTATTAGTTGTGGGAATTAAGGTGTGAGGCAACATACTGTAGTATGCAGCAAGGGTAGCAGGGTCCATGTATGAAAACATTGACAGAGGAGGACCCCCTGCTCCAGAGCCTGGTTTAACTCCAGGAGCAAGGATGGGTGACAGGTACGGGAGTAGTACAGCAGGGTTTAACTGGAGACCTGCTAACCCTGGTGGTATCCCTTGGGCTGCAGCAGCTGCTAGTGCTGCTGCTGAAGCTGCACCAAGTGCTCCTGGGTGTTTACTGGGTGAATGTTTAGGAGGGGTATCTGAGGATCTTATGCTGACATGAGGAGGGGGAATTCTGCCCATATTACAATTCTTACTAGTACCTGGTTTAGAAATTGAGGACACTGTTATATCACGCCTCGTGGATAAATCTAACAGTTCTATTTCTGGTCTTTCTGTTTTAGATGATCTACCATTTCTGTTTCCTGATGCACGACTTAAGTCCAGAATTTCTATTTCTGGACTAGAACTCTTATTGTCTTTACTCATGTCCTTAACATCTGTAGTAGGTTTACCATACATGTGTTTAGACTGAGAATACACAGAAGGTGGCTGGAAGACCCTCGGAGGATCAGGTCTCATAGGATCCCGCGGAGACTTGGTTATGTGGTGCTGGTGGGCTGCTGGTGCTGGTGCTGGGAAGATGCTAGTTTGGGGTAAGAGCTGTGCCAGTGCACTTATCGTTTTGTTGCTCTGGTGTGCTGGAAGGAGTAACTTGGCACTAGGGTCTAAGAGGTTCATTTGTCTTAATACATCAGCTGAGACGAGTCCAGGTACTGCCGGTAAAGGTGCCTTACTTACTGGAGTTTCTTGGATCACAGACGGTCGTCCATTATCTTTCTCTCTTGAACTGGCACCATTAACTCTTGCTCCTTCTGTTTTTAATCTTTTCATGGCTGGTTCTTGTAATGGTTTTTCATATCTGCCAAAAAGTAGATTTCTGTGTATTGGTTGAATACCAATAGAAGTACTGTATTAATATTGTGTTCAATAAAGAGGTTTTACATTTCAATCATATAAAATATATTTATGTTCAGCATTTTAAAAAACATTTCATACATATTCTACAATATATCACACAGTTAAAATTACCATATTTTTTTTTAGGAAGATTAAGAAACAATCCTTTGACATAAACACTAAAAGGCTTTGCATTAAATTTCAAAATGATGCAAGTCCAGTTATGTAATGTAAAAAAAAAAAAAATCTCACTTATGCAATACAGGCAGTCCCCAATTTATGAGGGTTAGTTTATGAAAATTTGACATTAAAAAAAAAATCCTATGATTTCATTTATGAACAAAAAACCTCAAGTTATGATTTTCCCCCCATTTTCTTTATTTTTTCCAGAGTCCTAATGAACATAAATAGAATGAGAATTTACTTCCCACTCTTAATTTTTCTTATATTGAAGTTTATTTTCTTTATTTCTGAGACATTAGAGCACTGAAAGGATATTTCTAAAAAAGTTATGGTTTTTTATGTATACAGTACTGTAACAATAGCACGTGCAGAGCCTTATCACAATTAACAAGTGCCAGTGTGTTACGGTGATTTCTAGACTCGATATTCTTCCACACATATCTGTACTGGACAATATACCACGACACTCTTTATTTTTTCCTTATCTTATAAGTTTATATTCCTGTACTGTATACAGTATTTTCTTTGTCCATAAAGTACACTAGCACATTTATATTACTTTAACGCAAATTCTGTGGTTACAGAACACACAACAATTGTACAGCTACTGTACTAGCACTCGGTTACATAAGAATGGAGGAAACTGCAGCAGGCCTATTGGCCCATACTGGGCAGTCCCATTTACACCCAACCCAGTTGTGTGGGAGGTGACATGCATTTAAGTGTGGTAGAAACTTAACACTTGTAGGGTACTTTTATTACTTATTATAGTTATTTTTACATATATTATGTGCTTTTAACACTATTTAGGAGTCATTTTCAGGTACACATCGACTTGGTATAAAACAGTGGATGATGCAGATGACGTATGTGAAACAATTGATGTACAGTACAGTATAATGAAACTTTCTTCCTATACTCGTTAGCAACGTATAGTTAAATGACGTGTACTGGTACAACATAAAGTGTGGACCCCCTTGTACAAGTATAAAATTATTACTGTAATGTACTGTACTCCATGTATTTCAGTTAATATGTTTATGATTGGCTTATAATAATTGTATACACCAAAATGTTTACTTAAAAACATATTTTGTGGAATTATAAGATCCTTAGGGGATATTATTTATTTATTTTTAAGAATGTATCTTAGCTTTGATTATGGGAGTCTATAGTAAAATGTTCTAAGATTTAAAAAAAATACAGTATTCACAAAAAAAAATTCAAGAATGGAACCCTTCAGTAAATTGTGGAATGCCTGCTTCTCATTTATTTTTTAATTCTTGCAAACCCTTTCATATTATGCTGTAGGGTGGCTGTTTAGCAAGCAACATCAATTGAAGTTAGCTGTAGGAATGACAGCCACATTAATTGAAGTTAGCTGTAGGAATGGCAGCCACATCAATGGATGTTTCATGTTTCTTGCTTTCTAGTTTTTGAGCACACTGAGGCAGATTAGGAAATTCTTACTTGCTATTTAAGGGTTAAAAGTAAAAACATTCTCATATTCACTGACCTCCATCCATTTACGATAATTTCCCATAAACCACTCAATATTGTATTCTGTCATTCACAATCTGGTGCTTCCAAGTTATCCATCCCCCCCTCAGTTTAACCTCTGTCTGATCTCTTTCATTTTTATATTTCTTTTCTAATTTCTGTATTCTGCAACCTTTTAACCACACACTGCTCTCAAACACATTTTTTTTAGGTTACTTCTATGGTACTTTGTTTCCTCTTTGTTTCTTGATCCAATACAGGTCTTCCCTAAATAAACTATCCATTTCTGATACACATTCCCCTGTTATATTTGTATCAATTCTTCTCGCATTTACCTTTATACAGGGAAATAATATTTGTTCTCTTCCATTCTTCTGGTATGCTTCCCTCTGCCATACATATCCTATACAATACACTAATCATCCCCTTCAACCACTTTTTCACCTCCCATCCTTAATACTTTGTGATTCAATCAGGCTGTGCAGATTAGCAGTGCCCAGCAGCCAGGACTCAGGGTCAGGCAAGTAATTTTTCATGTCTATGTGCCTGGCTGGCACTTGCCCAGCAGACAAGCTGATATCTTGAGAGGAAAATGCCTAGATTGAAAATTGTCAGGTGTTGTGTGACTCCACCTAACCGTACAAATTTTAACCAGGGAGGTCTTGCAATGACCTGCTTGTCATCAGAGCATCTGGATTAATGACCAATGCCAGGTGCAGGTAATTTATTTCTACATCAAGGAACCACTAAGCTGAGAAGCTGTAGACATGAGGTGACAAGAGTTATGACCTCACATGACAAGTTTTACTGCCACTGACACTAGCTTATAGGGGAGAGGGATAGTTGGGGTAGGGCAAAGGTGATCACAGGTGCTGCCTCCACTTTCTCACACACCTGCAGGGTGTGAGGTGACAGGGTTATGACATCACATGTTAAGGGTTACTGCCTATGACATCATTTAGATGGACAAAATAATTTGAGTTGATATACATAATAAATTTGAATGTTTTAAGTGTTTAATTAACTTTCACCATAAAAAAATCAGGGCAAGCAAATTTCACCCCCAAAATATGTCAAGGCACGTAAATTTCAAAAGTCACTTTCCTGGGACAAGTAAATGTTCCACATAATTTGCACAGCTTGAATTCAATCCACTCCAAGAGCCTTATCAACCTTACAGCCTGTCTCGCCTCCTCCTCATTTAATTATTTTTTCTTCTTCAATGGTTTTTAATGTTCCATGTCTTATAGCACCACGTCTCTCTTATCTGTTACATTTAGTAGTTGTTTGAATTGATCTCTCATTTCCTTTTACTCCACATTATTCAGTATCCACCTTTCATTCATAACTGCCATGTCCATTTGCTCACTAGGTTTTCTCACCTTATTCATTTCCTTTCAGAATGGCTTCTTGAATTCTTGGAAACCTTGTGACAATATTCCTCTCTGTCTTTAAGTGCTCTCTTGTTACATTCTTTCACCATTTTCTTTACTTTCTTTTAAAATTCTTTATATTTCTCCCTTCTTTCATCACTCCTTACTTTAACTGGAGCTCATATACTGTACCCTACTCTTCTCCTAATTAACACTGCCCACCTCTTATCCAACCATTCCTTCTTTTTATTTCTCATCCCAATTTTCTTATACTCATACATGTCAGCTGGAAAAAATACTTAATTAAAGAGAAAACAAGATATTTTTTTTCAACCTACCTCTCTGCAATTTTGGCAAGATCCTGAAGTGCTGACATTCCTAATGTAGATTTTAACCCTCCCAGAGTCATGAGGTCTGCCAATTGGAGACCCTGGAGTCCTGGTGGCATTGAGGGAAGACCAGCATCTAAAACCCCTGAAAGTGACGACTCTGGTGCCCCTAATGACCCAAGGGAGCGTGGAATGGGAGTGATGGTGATCTCCGGCCGCTTCGCCAGATCTGCTGGGATTGTGTTGCCTTCCTTCTTGGTGTTCACCTTAGGAACCTAAGGAAAAGTAATAGCTTCAGACACCTAAAGAGGTTGAAATTTTCAGATACTGTATACAGAATATACAAGAACCAAAATTAGATATAGCTGCAGGCACACAGGAACCTAAGTGACAAAATTCATTAGTTATAAATTTCAGAAAGTGGGACGATATTTGCAGTATTTGCACTATTAACCTGCATAAATGAGTTTCAATCAAATAAATTATGTGAAGTTACTAAACATAACTTTGGGAAGACACATGATAAACTTATGCATGGCTGTTAAAAATTCATTTTTCTTCAATTACTATTTGCAACTTTTAGTGACAAAAGCAGTGATTAGTCAATGGAGCTAATACACCAAAATGCAAAGTCTTCAGTAAATTCTCTAATACCCTGTATAGTACAGTACTTCAAAACAAATTATATATAAGTTCCTTAAAGAGAATAACTTGTGTAGTGTCCTAAATATCATTCTGCCAAAGCTTTGTTTTTCCACATTAACTGTTGAAGTTATTAGATATTTAAGAAGAAGCTCAAATTCAGCCACAATAAAATATTCAAAACAAATTCAGTGTTGTACTGTACAGTACAGGTTGACAACCCTTTATCCGAAATTCCGAAAACCGAAAAGCTCTGAAAACCGAAAGTTTTTTGGTGGAGCAATTGTTTTTATTTATTTATTTATTTTATTTATTTT